AAAAACACATAAATGATAATAATGCAATAATGTAGAAAATAATATTTCTAAAAGTTTAAACAACAGATAGTTGGGCAGAGCAGCAAAAGCTTCAGAGCTTCTGACATTAGTATAAATGTAACTTCCTGATGTTAGTACTGACTCCTGACATTTCCTGACTCCTGACATTAGTATCTTTGTAAAAATTTAATTTCTGAAACATATCGTATATTTTAAATTTGTCCAAATAAAAGAAAGCCAGCTTTTTAATCTATTAGAGGTGATTTAAATTACCAATACCGTTTCCTTTTCTCTTTGGTTTGGATTTATAAGCGTTACAAAAAATATATATATATATTTTTTGCCTCTCACCCTTTTCTAAACGAAAATATATTAATATTAAAACATGAATGCTTCAAAATATTTTAATCAACGCTATGAACAGCTTCATTGAGAAAGGAACATTTTATTTTGTTTAACTGACGTAATTTTTGATTTGGATAATTTTGTATGTTTTTCAGTAATACACAGAATTAAATTAAATTAATAATTTTCTGTATTACAGGGTTACCGTACTATTCGTGTAAATTTTCTGGTAACTTTATTCTCAACGGATATGGAACAATAATTGTGATCCATACTTTGCTTTTATCAACAAGCGCATTTTATTTTAATATTTAATTCCCTTTTCGAAACAGTTTTGTTTTTCTGTATTTATTAATTTCAAAACATAGCAATTAATTGCAAAATAAAATTCTGTGCTTCAAGGGAATTAAACAAATTCATTATTGCTACAGACATTATTATATTTGTCATAATGTCACTTTGGGGCCGAGCGGTAAAGTCGCTGAACACTGGTACTTCGGTCCGAGGTTCGAATCCCGCGAACGGGCTGGCTGCATGGGTGTTCGTGGTTTCCCCATTGTAAGTGTATACGAGGCCGTTTCCTCTAGAACCGTCCTCCACGAAAGGCATCCCTCCCCTTTGGCAGATAGCCCTAGTGTGCTTTGCCATAATTAAATACACCACACCATAATGTCACTTTGGTAATTGATTTTTACAAGTAACCTACTTTACGCTTAAAATTTTTAAACACTTTAACCAAATTAAAGAAGCATAACCAACGTGAAATTTAAAATACTGATGTATAGCTAACAATTAAATTTATTAAAACATCGGTACTGTTAATTCAATGAATCGATAATTTTTCTTAAAAACTTAAATAAATATTTTTTTAAATGACTGCAACTTCATGATTAAATAATTTTTTATCAGATCTTATTGTCTCGAAAATAATATTACAGGATACAAATACGTTATCAGAACACGTTTGCTTCAAAATAGTTGCCATCATATATTTTGAGCCTACTAATTGCAGTTAATGCAAGTACCTAATACATATGACAAGTTTATCAAGTTACATGAATTTTATAATAAAGTAAAACTTTAGAAGTTCAGAAACTTTTAAAAATTTATTATTGCAACTCAATTTAACACATTTTTAAGTAATTTGTTCAAAGAAACATGAATTTTAACGTAATCAAAATAATTTAAAGCATATTCAAATTCATATGTGATAAGAATTCATTTCATAATTCTTTGGAAAAAAATTCTCAACCCTTTTGTCATTTAAACGAGAATTTTAATTATTCTAAAAGTACCCAAAATGATAATATTTAAACAATATTTTCATGAAAACTTGATGTAAAATCAAGTGTGAAACGAAATGTTCTTTGAATTCAAATAGTGCCATCTTCTTTAGGATTCGCGATAATTTTTCTACTGAATGACATATCGGTGCATAAAAGTTTGCACATTTCTTCGTATCATATGATGACTTAATATATTTACATGTAAAATTACCTTTTCTACTAGAAAATTTGAGTTTTTTAACATAATTTGTTTTAATAATTTCTGAAACTTAAAAGTTCTTTTGGCATTATATAGTGATAGTGTTAATGCCTAAAGACGATCGGGATTTTGGATTATTATAACGTCAGCAAAAATTACCATTAATTTAGAAAGTTCTAGTAGGAATACTGTCTCACCACAACTTCTTCCATGGAACATGTTTATTAGAATTTCTTCTGCCCTTGTACTTTTCGCGTTTATAGGCTATTCAGTTTCAATTATAATTTTAAGTGCTTTTATTAAATCTGAATTTCACTTTTTTCCCTTTTGAATTGCAAACAATTATTTTATAGTTTGGATTCTATAACATGCTGCGAGTTATTTTTCAATTTTTCAAAAAGTTTCTCAATATTTTATTTATAATTCAACTTTGTTTTTGCATCGTAATTTATTTGTTGTTTGACATCTTAATTTTTGAATAATTTTACTTATATTTCTAAAGTTTTCAGCATTGATAGGGAATTCAAGTTAAAATACCCATTGCGCGTTTTTTAATTTGTACATTTTTATGAAGCCTGCATTATAAAAGATAAAAATATTCTTCTGTCATATCTCATTTAGTGTCTTTATAGCCTTACAATATATTATTATTTTTTTTATTTTCAAGGGCTGAGTTAACAATGCTACGAAATTCAATGAAACCCATACAAGAAAAATCAGTCAAATTTACCGACCGAGAAAAGGTATGATTTCTAATAATACATAGAAAGCTCTGTTTCAGAACTTTTCATTCCCTAATTTTTATCCACTCAGACGTCTTCCCTTTCTTTATGGCTTTGGCTTTCGTTTTCTTGTTTACTCTTTCTTTCTGTTTTTAGTTTTTTCTTTTCTTAAATAATTTTCGAAACTTGCACCTGAGGCTGAACAAAAATTCTAGTCAACTACAATTTTGTACTAGAGCCACACCATTTCTCACAAATTTAATTGAAAAGCAAGATGTTACATATGTGCTTTCTCAATTTCATTATTGTTTTTAAATTCTTATATGTACGTGTTATTTCAGGAAATAATTTTATTCCAGTTCTTTTGCATTTTGAAATATTTATATCTAGAATATTTGTATCAAGCAGCACTTTATAAAATAGTTAAAAAAAAGAGGTTCTTATGTAGAATTTATTGTGCAATTATGTTGCGATATTTTTCTTTATTGGTCATTTTGATAGTGTTCAAATCACGTGATTTTTTTCTTAATTATGAAAATAAAAGAGATAAAAATCAAGCAAAACAAATTTGTTATACAGATACGGTGGAATGTGATGAGCTGATTTCAGCTGATCAGTGGGATATTTTCATTCAACATTTATGATTTGATTATTTTTGTTCAAGATTCATGTTATGAAATGTCATCAGAAATGAATAGTTAGTAAATTCTTTAAAATAAGCAGGAATTTTATTCGAAATTGCAACTACCGTGCTATCATTAAAAAGATTTTGTTGCAGAAAGTCCACTGTGAAAACAAAACTGATTGTATGTTCTTTGCTTAACTTCGTAAATTTAGAAAATCGCCAAAACAAAAACTTCTTTATGCATTAGAAGTGAACTGATTTTGTAAACGGTAACCAGAAGTGAATTATGTTGTTCCAAAATGACGATTCAAGTTGTAAGAAATTGTGAAGAGAGTAAGAAGGTTCCTTGCGCATGCACATTTTAAATGAATCATTCCCGATACTTTTAGTGGTTATTATGACTTATCTCGCTTGTTTGACAGTAACATCAGAAGAAGTCCACACAATTCATCGTGGAGAGGAATGCAAGATTGCGCCTGTCGTTAACAACAGCCTTGAGCATACAGATGATAGTACAACGACAGTACAACTTTTCTCAGTTCCGACCACAATTTTGATGGAGAGTACTCCGGTGGGACGGATCCGAGGGTCTTCCACCCTTCTTTCCCTATTTCCAAACTCTCGAGAGGACTTTCGACTAGAGTGCAGCCATACCGCACAGACACTAGACATCTACAAACATCCATGCCTTTTCCGGCATTTAAACCTGGGCCCTTCGCAACAGCAGTTAGCGTCACTAACCACTATCCCGATTGGCATCAAGCATAATAGCATATATGTTACTATTGCACTCTTTATTGCTGTTATAGAGTTTTATTACAAACACGAGGTTTCATTTTTGATGTAGCTGACAGTGGGAAAAAAAAAGAAAGAAAGAAGAAGGACTAGAAGACACTTCTAGAGGCAAAGAATACTATATGTGGCTATGAAATTTAAAAATATTGAAAAATGAATTATTTCGCATAAGAGCACTTTTTTATCTGCATTAAAACAATATGAGAGGAAGGAAATTCTTTATTTTCATAAATTTTTGCATGGAAACACATTCAGCAAGTAAATCAGTAAAACATTTATTCGGTAAGAAATATCAACAATTTGGAAAAGAAGAAATACTATTCTATTAAGTTAAGTAAAGTAAATAAGCTGCTTAACCGGGATAATGATTAGTGACTTTGACTGCCGTACCGAAGGGCCGGGTTTCGAATCCCGGAGAAGGCTTTGGTTTTGTAGATGTATAGTATCTGAACGGCATGGCCGCACTCTAAATATGCGGCGAGCCGAAAGTTCTCTTGAGAGATTGGTGGTGGGGGAAGAGGGGTGGGTGACCCTCGGATTTGTCTCCTTCTCGGGGCGGAACTGGAAAAGGCGTAATGTCATCTGTATGCTGCTCAAGGCTATTTCCAACGACAGGCTTAATTTTGCACTCCTTGCCATGATGGAATTAGAGTGCTTGTTCTGATCTTACTGTCAGACATATGAGATAAGTCACAACAACAACGTAAATAAAAATGTTAGATTAAAAATATATAATAATCCAATATTTTCGCCTTTTGTTTTGCATCATGTTTCTATACTTTACCTTATATAATTAAATTTTGTGCTTTTTTAATTAATATATATTAAAATCTGAAGCTTCTCAAGAATTTCCGAAAGGGTGGTCTCGAGTCTCAATAAGAGATTTAGTTATTGATTAGATAAGTTACAAAGTAAGACAAGTAATTTAATAAGTCCGGGATCCCGAGAAATAGAAAGTTCAGGGAAACACAATAGCGCAAAGAGACCTTCATAGCTGAGAGTAAAGGACCATTTATGCATCTTTCAGAAGACAACTGAGAAAGATTATAAATGAAAAAGTACAGAAACAAATTTGAAGTTTAAGAATTTGATATATATTTGATCTGAGAAATTTTAATGCTATTACATAATAAGTACACCAATGATATTACATAGAATTATTTTTATGATTCTCCTTTTAATTTATTGACAACGCTATCTACATTTTAAAAAACATTTAAATATTTACTATTTAAAATTTTGTTAATTATAAGCACAGTAGTAGGTATAATATTTAATATACAAGCAAGAACGACTATATGTTTTTTCATTTATCATTTGGAGAACATAAAATTTTTTTCTTAGGACGATTAAGAAGGATGAAGATTTAAACTTTTTCCTAAGAAAAATTCTCGGAGTGTCATATGACGTATTCCTTATCTTCTTTTCCTCGTATTTATATGTACAACTTTGAAATGGTAGAGGAAGGCAGAACTGACTTTTGGAAAAACTGTTTGAAATGCGGAAAGAAACGAAATCGAAAATGTGAATAAATCGAGAAGAAAACTATGTGTAATTGAAATTATGCATATAATAAACGAAATATCTTACTTTTGGCATCACTAAGAATAAGTGTATAATGTAATGAAATAGTATAATGTAAATAATGTATAATTGTATATGAGAAGTTGTATGAGAAACACGTAAAGGAGGATACCTTCTACAAGCAGCTACGTGACTCAAACGGTTAATTTATATCTTCATAGCAATATCATTATGTGTTATCATTAGCCGAAAATGCTTGAAATAGCACTGGAAAAGATAGAGCATTTTTGCTTAAGAAAATGTTTTCAAATGGTTTAACTTTGATTTCTGTAATAAATGAAGATATGGTAGAGTTTTCCGTTATTTCAACAGAATGTTTAAAATATTTAAGTAGTAGTATAAAAAATCTAACTGTTAAATTTAAATAAAATTATATTCGTGCATGCAGAAGATTACATGAAAAGTAAGGAAATATGTAAATATCTATGAATAATTAAAATATCTTTTCTTCAGCTTCAAGAAAAAGTTTTGGAGCTAGAAAAGTTGCTGCTTTTGTCAAGAAAAGAAAATGAGGTAAATGTTCATTTTAATAGTTAGAAACAATATGTTTATTTACTTTTATTCGCGAAATAACTAGTATAACAAGCATTGACATAATGCTGAAGATCTAGGAAAGCAAAAGTAAATTTTCAGTTCCATAACTATACTAAATAAAAAAAGATCAAAAGTGCTCAGTGAAAATAAGATAGATGTACTTTAATGTCGTGAATGATTTTTCTGAACATGATGTAATTTGGTATTTGTAAAACATTTTAGTGTTTATAGAATATAATACAAAATTGCACGTATAACCTGAATATAGAACATTAGATTAATAAAGCGTTTGTTTAGCTGCATGAATACATATATCATACAAGGAATAAAAATATATAGCAAAAAAGGATTGAATATAGGAGCAAAAACGAATGCTACACCGTAGAAAAAATATAAACAGATTACATATTTACCACTAATTTAAATTCCAGAAAACAAAAGGGCTTTGAGAAATAAAAAAGGAAACATAAGCAATGGACAGTGAAATCATACATAGTTTTCTTCAGAGAGCGGAATTCATGTAGTTCCATTAGCTGCCTTCTAATGGTTTATTAGCTGCGTACATAAGGATGCAGCTAATGACCTTACGTATGTCTTATGAAGAGGCGATATATGCAAAAATTCTATTAGAACACAGCTAATGAAATTTTATATAAATTGCTCTTTTATGAGACGTATGTATAATTTCGTTGTCCATTTTCTGTGTTTTACATTTCATTTTCACATCGATTCTGTCTTATGCCTTTGAAACAAAGGGGAAATATTTGAGTTTTTGTTTAATTAATTATTATGTGGTATGGACCCTTCATCATTTATTTCAACATTCGCATTTCTGCGACATTTTTATATAACTTATTCCAAATCGTCCAGCATTTTATATTCATATTGAAATTTATCGATTATTATTATTATCGTTTCTTTGTAATTCTGTTGTAAGGGCTTTATGTTAATTATTAGTTCAGAATCTTCATTCACACAGCATCCTTGCGTTTTCCTGCCAGAATGTAAATTTCAGCTCGCGTGTATTTAAGCCAGATTTTGAGAGTGTTGTTTTAGTCAGAGCGTGTTCCTCCTGCTACGTTATTACTAGGCTATGTTATTACTTAAGATTCTATGATAACACTCCTGTCTACTGTGTTGCTTTTATCTTGCAAATATTGCTGTCACGCTGGTGTTGGTTAAAGCCAACTTGCGAGTTAAATATCTCTGTATATCCTTTGGCTAATTTCTACTCAGATTTAGTTTAGGTTTGAATTTCTTACTTTTAATTTCTACCCATAAATGCTGGCTGAGGTTTTATGCACCAGCAGTGCGTTTTGTTCAACTTAGGTTTCAATAAGAGGGTCTCTTACACACTTAGTGCATTTCCGTTTGTTTATCTAGCGATAAATTGCTTAGTTCTAAACAGAGTTTTGACTTAGTGTATATTAAGAAATCAATTGAGACTCTGAACTGTGAATTATCAACTGGCTCTAGATAAAGGAAACTTCAGCTATTAAAAGTAAAGTTTATCAGTAAAATAAAAAGAGAGTTCTGGGGTTTGTGAAGTTTAATTTTATGCTTAATTTTTGGGCCTATAGTTTTTAATGGGTGGGGAAACCGAGTTTTCTTCGGAACGTGTAAGGGTGCTGAAAGGCAGAGCGCCAAAGCCAGAACCCTCGTCCTGGTGCGTACCTTTCGAAGTTGGATATTCCGGGTCTCGGAGACCCACAGTCCCTGCCCGGCTTTATACGTAGCCTCAGCAAGTACGGAAATGTTGCTCTAGTACTAAATATGCTGCTTAATCACCTTTGCTTCGGGGCACCACTCCCTAAGCATCGAAGAATTCATCTAGGTGCCTTGCCTTACTCCGTCAGTCTCCGTCACTGGGACTCTAAGAGCCAAACCCCCATCGAGAAGGTCATGATAATCTAACCATATATCGACTCCACAGCCAACGGAACAGAGACGACAGAACCAACATGATTCCTGCCAAGCCTGAACCAACCTAAGTAAATACTCAGGTTCTAGTCCTGTGAAGACTAATAATATACCCCCTTCATTGAGACTGCCTAGGTACAGATCCTAACCAGTACTTCCCAGGACGATCTGTTGAATTAGTAAATCTCCTTAATATTCAGTCGATGATGGCATTCCCGAGTAATAGGAGTTTGATGTATGAACTTCACCCTGTGAGTAATGATGTTTTTTCTTGCTATTTCTATTTAAACTGTGACTAAGTAATGATAAATTACATTAATATACAGGAATTAAGTAATGATCATCAATTATGAGTTATGAAATGTTTAAAAAATATAGTATGCTTACTATTAATGTGAGTGTAATTTTTGGAATGAAATATGTGTTGTTTTACCTCTTAAGGTAAATGTTGTAGAATACTGATCAGTTATTCCCAGCTATCTGAATATTCAAGAAATTAATAAATGTGTTTGACTAGTATATTTTATGTTTATTTCGTTATTTTGTGTTACCTCAGTTTGGTCTATCATGTCACTCCATTAGTTTGAGCCTTAAGGCTTTTAAGAAATTTGGAGATTTTACTTGGGGTATTGTTAATAACTTTTAATTAGGTTTTCACAACCCAACCTTTAATTTTTACTAACCATTTATTTATAATTATTTGAATGTGTTTTTGGGTTAATTGTAACGCGTTTTTAAGTGTCCGGATTGTATTTAAGTTGATTGATACTTCTTTTGAGGACCTGATTTGATTGTTTATGAATATTTCTTCTCTGGTGTTTGTGAAGTTTTTGAATTATTAAATTGATCTTAGTTGCTCTTAAGTTAATTTAGTAAATGATTGAATATATAGTGTAAGTGAAGTGAAGTAATGTTTTTGTTTGAGAGATCTATTTTTACCCGAGCACCAGCGGAGATATATTCCTCTTTATTTTTCAGGTTGAGATTTATTGAGGTGAATTGGGATTTGATTCAATTAAGTGATTCTAAGAAGTAGTTTATTTAAATGTTATTTGAGATTGATCAGTCACTCAGTTCCTCCTCTCCTCTACCCAGCTTAGGATCAGAGTTTCAGTTTATTTTTAGAAAAGAATATTATTATTCTTTATTTTAGTTGTTTGTCCGGCACCAGGTTAGTTCAGTCAGGCAGTTAAAGTTTGAAAAGTTTAAAAACCCAAAATTTTCAGCTTCGTAACAATACTATCAGGCCATTTTCTTCTTTTGGATATTCGCCAATGCATACACCATACCTGCACTTGACATTAGTCAATACTGTCAGAAAATTAAATGAAAAACTGATTCAGATTACTAAACTTTTCTTTATGCCCCTGGCATTTGCACTAAGGAAATCATTGTATTGCATATTTGTAAATTTTCTTTAATACAAAATAATATGTATAAACGCTTTTATAGCATAATTTATTTATTTTGGTAGAAAATGGTACATAATTTTGTGAAAACGAACGAATTACTGTGCAAATTCATGGATAAATATGCAGACGTAAAGGATTCAGAAAAGTCTTCAGCAAAAGAAATCGAGCGTCTTCGAAAAGAAATAAATGTTCTGAATCAAGCTTTGGAGGAAAAGGTAATTTTATGTCACGTAATTCTGAAGTATTTTTTTCTATAGTTCTCATCAAAAAGAAATGTAAATCTCTGAAAAAATACATATCTTGGAGAAATAGAAAACTTTATGGAAAATAAAATGCTTTATTGGGAGGGATAAAGAGAAAGAAGAAGAAAAATAATGAAGTTTTAATGGAACGAATATTATTAAATTACTTTTTGAAGAACAAAATTCGTATAAACATGTTCTTTTTTGTAGTAAATACCCTACCCGTTACTTCCTATTCAGCATAAAAAACAAGCAAAAAATAACATAACCATGGAAATATGAAATATTATGATATAAATTTGAGTTATGGAATATATTGTCATTATGTATTTTGATCTCTGGATGAATATATGTGTTTGCTTTGGTGAATCACAATATGCTGTGGAAAGAACGTGATTCTGTCCCTGGAAATGAAGGAGATTCCATCTCTAAGCTTTCCTTCAATCTCGAACTTTGAATTCTCTTTCGTCAAAGTATATATAAATCTAGTTGTCTAAAAATGCAAAATAGTGAGTGAGTGAGTGCGCTGCTGAGATGTTTTCGAAAACGGACATGAATCAAACAGAATGATATGCCATCCCAGCTGGGAAATCTATTGTTTATCGAAACTTATAATCATCATAATAATATAATAAAATAATAATAATAATATATAATAAATAATAATAATAATAATTAATAATATAATAATAATAAATACAATATATAATAATAATAATATAAAATATATAATAATATAATAATATAATAATAAATAATAATAATTATAATATTCCTCTCTATCCTCATCCTCTCCGAATAATCCCTCCTATCTATCCTAATAATAATAATAAGAATAAGAATATATCATCTCATCATATCATCATCAGCAATATAAAAAAAAGGCTCCGAAAAATTTGACAGCATCTTACTGTGTCGCATACTATAGTGCCCCATTACTTGTAAGAAATTTACTTATGAACTCATTATATGTCCCATTGCAAAGCTATGCATACCGTACAGCGAAATGCGACGTGTAAGGTATTTTCCCGTGCTCGGGTGTAGGGTTGTGCCCGCGGGCCGGTATTCCAGAGGTCCGCGGTTCGATTCCCGGCGAATGCGTTGTTAATTTCTTACCATTTTTTTCATCTTTCCTGCTTCCAAAATTCCTAATGTCTCTACAACATAACTTAATAACCTATGAATGCATGAAACATATATACGAAAATAAATGCAAAGTATTACAGCGATATACATTTAAAACCAATTCGTTAAGAACGAATACCCAATACTTAAGAAAAGACTTGCATATATTTACCTGCTATATACTTTGCTGTTTACTGTTCTAATACAATGTCTTTTAATACAGAGAGAACTAGTTATTACTTAACAATATTAATTTTTACCAAAGATCCACTTCACGGGGAACTAATTCTACCTTTAAGACACAATAATACGCCAAACAAAAAACTAATTCAGAAGCCAAACAATAAAAAGCAGCGTTATATTTTCAAATTTTCACAGGACTAGTTTCGATGGTTTTACCGAGCCACCATCCTCAGCTGCAAAAACGCAAATGAACTAGATAAGAAAGCTGATAAAAATACTAATAAGCTAATGGCGCCATCTGTACACTTCCCGGTATGGTTCCGCTACGTAGACGATACTTTTTACTAATTTTTTAGCTTACTATAAATATATTTGGAGGTAGTGGTGCTTTCTAATGATTACAGAAGAACATTTCTTCGGCAAAATCCTCTTTATGAATTATCTTACTTAAGTTACAAATACGGCTTCACTGTCTCTCCAAGTTGGTTCATTCATTTGCACCGAAAATTTTCTTGTTTTCAGCTTTTCAACAAGTTGTATTTCAATATCCTCATTTAACCTCTTCTCAAACAGTATTGTTATTTAGTGGCATAGTTTTAACGTCTTGTCATCTTTTTCTAGAACAGTTTTAAAAGTTGATATTGATGGTTGATTCAATTCTCCCCTATAGTACGGCGTTTCCCAAATTAAGCGATGAGTAATCAAATTTGATAAATAGCCTCAAGAGCACGATAACAGTTGCATGTGAGCATAAATAGACACTTTAATATTACTCTTTTTCAAAAATTTCCTTAAATGTGAAAATAAAAATCTGAATAATATTTATGTTTCTTCAAATGTGCCTCAAGACGACCTAGTTTCATTGATTCGTTGGTCAGGCATTAATGGCATGAAAGACAAAAGTTGACCGTTTAATGGACCGTTTAATGGACCAAGTTATAAATATGCCTCCGAATACCGACGAACTTTTTTTTTTTTTTTTGCTTGCACCTCTCATTTCACTAAGGAGCTGAAAGAAATAAATATAAGATCAATATAAACAAAGCTGAAAGCAGCTGCTGTTGCCATTCAAGGAAAGAATAATATACCAGTTGTCATTCCTGCAGTAAAAAATAAAATAAATTCGTTGGCTAAAATGCGCGAGAAACGTCTGGAAACCATAATGTGTCAGTTATTTAAATACCTTTAAAAGCATTTAAATGTCCATGTCTAAAGCTCGAATTCTTTATAAAATATTTAAAATCACCGCAATTTAAAAACTTTTTTACGTATCACTTACATTTTTCTTTATTTTGGGGAATAAAAAATGAAATTTCGAAATATTTTGACTTCATGAAACATATTTAGAACGTCCTTTATTCCCTTAAACTCTGGACCAGTCCATTTTCGAATTGCCCCCCCCCTTAAAGTCGCATTGCCCCCTTGTGGGGCGTTGGCTCCACGTTGGGAAACACGGCTTTATTATCTTATCTAATCGTTATATCCGATCTCGTTCATTTGCGTTTTTGCAGCTGAGGATGGTGGTTCGGTAAAACCATCGAAACTAGTCCTGTGAAAATTTGAAAATATAACGCTGATTTTTGTTGTTTGACTTCTGCATTAGTAATTCTACCTTAGTTAATAGTAAAGAATGAAAAAGAATGAAACGTAAACAGTGAAATTTCCTTTGCCAATATTTACTGATAGTTTAAGGCTTATGCTAAAATTGTAAATTTCATAAAGGGAAAGAAAGACGAGGTACATGACATATAATAATAAATGTAGAAATTCCAGTATAGTATGAAGCCAATATATTGAGCGCTATAAAGGTTAACGTATATGCATTAAGTCAAGTTATATACAGAAGAGAAAAGGAAACCAAATCGATGTAGGTTCGGAAGTAAATGTAAATACTAAACAGTATACTCTGTGCTGTGCTTACTACATATCTATATGTAGCTGATGCTGCTTGCTTTTCTAATGCAATAGTTTGCTTGTCCAGTAGGGACGAGTAAATGAAAAATGAAACTCTATAGTAGCAGTTCGTAGGGAACTATTTTTACCTTACAGTACAAAGGAAAAAAACTTAAATACAATTAGAACGTTTTCTGCTGTTCCTTGTAGTTAATATATATATGATAGTGAAATACTGCTGTAAACATAAGAAGCATATAAATAATTTAAAAAAGCTATAAAATAAAAAAGTGATATTAAGTAAATAAATTAATAAGAATAAATGTACAAAATAATATCCGAAAATTTTACTAAAACCAATCCATAGTGAACTGTAGAGAATAGTATATTAGGTACTGGTGCCAATGCTGACTATGTAATTACACTAAAGTATGTTATTGTATATTAATAATTAAATCCTATACATATTTTACTAAATATCTACTAAATTATCTACATTACATTGTTGAATATTATGTACAAATAGAAATTCTTATATTTTACTAAGTCTTACTAGTCCAAAGTTAGTTCATAGTAATAAACTTCTGAGTAGTTGGAGAAAAACCCTACAGACTTTCCATTCTTGCTGTATTGAAAGAAGCCTTGTAAGATAAAATTACAAGTAGTTAAGGAATTATTCAGCTCCATAAATAGTTTTAAGATAGTCTCTAAGCGTCATCCTCATTATCTGCATAAAAGTTTGATCAATTTAAACAGAAAGTTATTCGCAGCAGTTTCTTTTTGGGCAGTGTCTTGCGATCTTCTCTATTTTACCAAGGACTATTCTATTTTTGAGTGTGCTCTATTTTACCAAAGACTACTCTATTTTTGAGTGTCCGTATTGGCAAGGCGCAGTCCGCTGTTTTCTTCAAGTGCCACACTCTCGTATTAACAGAGTGAAAGTAATAATGGTTCTTCTCGCCTTCTCTTCGCACTCTCAGAAGGGAGTATCCCTAAGTCTGAATCTCTCGAGGTATATTGAGAATGGGCCATGACCTGGCAGGTGTTACTAGTACGGTGAGTCTTGATTCCGTGCTAACTTTTGGTTAGAAGGCGAATGTCTTTTGCGCCTATCTTTGCCTCTAACTATCTATTTTGTCGATTTTGTAGCAAGCTTGGGAGATCTGCTATTTTAATACGAGACCAAGGAAAGTTTAGTAACTTGTTCAAGCAAATCAGTTCTATTAGCTGCTTATTTGAGCAGGAGGTCCGCAGCTTTATTGCCTGAAATGCCTGTATGAACGAAAACCCATTTTAGAGCGGATCTTTGTGAAATAGCCGAGTGCAAAGCCAGACTTTTTGAATTCAGTATATCAAAGGACTTCTACTGTTTTGCCCTGCGATAGCTGTCAGACTTGATTGCTGTGTATGGAAAATTTCTGCTGATGATACGTGTTGTGTGCCTGCTGCTGACATGTATTAGCAAAACAACAAATAAACAGAAACTTGAATATCGTGTATCATTACACTTCATATAATAGTTTCGAAAATTCTTAAAACTATTACTCGGAATAAAATTTTGATCATCAATTCGTATTAATCAAGAGTCTGCGTTAGCGATAGAATTTACTCCATATTGTTGGAGAAAATAAAAAAACAAGTTTATTTTTAAAACCATTTCCAGAATTTCATGTCATGAGACACCTCAAATGATTAACAACACTCTGTGCAATATATCTGCATGCTTTGGGTGAAAAACATAATGCTTAAGTTATTAAATTCTTAACATTAATTAAGCCCAATTCTTCAAAATGAGTGGAATTTATGGTAGGTTGCTATTTTTGACAAAATAAAATACAGTTGACAGTTAAAAAATACTGTTTAAGATATCAAAGTCTTTTATTTTGGACAAATAGTTAGGAAGGCAGTTTATAACAATAAAGCGTAGGGAGGCGGCACTTTTTATCTTGACTAAGGATTTTGATTAAAAAAAGGGAGGAGGATTCTATTTGCTTTTGAGGTGGACTACAAAAGCGCCTACATAGCTATATATATAGCCTTTTACTACTGAAATTGAGCCCTAAATGAAACTATTAGTCTTCAACTATTACCTCCTGTTGTGTCATTTCTTCATTCAGGATCTGTCTTTCTATTTGCTTTTGAGGTGGACTACAAAAGCGCCTACATAGCTATATATATAGCCTTTTCCTACTGAAATTGAGCCCTAAATGAAACTATTAGTCTTCAACTATTACCTCCTGTTGTGTCATTTCTTCATTCAAGATCTGTCTGCTTCTTTTAACATTTGGCTGCTTCCAAGATATCCAGTCTCATGTTTCGAATTATCAACCACAATTAATTTCTATATGACTTAATTAAATTAACTATTTTTTAATAAATCGTTTATGACAGTTACTGACTTTTGTATGATCATTGGTCCTTTTGGATCTTAAGCTAGTTCTTAGATTTACTATCTATTATTCACGGTATCAATTATGTTAAAATAATGAATTTTACTGCATTTACATTCTGGTTTATGAATTTAGTATTTAATATATTTGTGTGATATCCCAATATTCAGTACATTTGTGTAAAGATAGTAAAATTTGTAAGTAGTTAAAATTAGTTCTATGTAAGTTCAACATAATTTATCGTAATAACGAATCTTCTGATTTCCATTTAACTATGAACTGCTTATTAGATAACTAATTGTATGACGACAAAGACCTGAACATTTCGTTTGAAGGTATGAATTAATTACTCGAATGAAAAGAGGTAAAATGTTACCATAATTAATAGGTCCAGAACTACATTAAATAGCTTGCAAATAATTTACTAATAAATATTATGTCAATACGTCTCTTACTATAATTCTTATAACTGATACACATTTTATTTAACTCGATACGAAAGGGGTTATTATTAAATATTATTTATCACATGCACTCATATATGAAGTTATTTACTATTTTGCTACTTTCCTGATTTGCTTATAGCTACTTAGCTCAACTTTATGGTTTGGTTTGATGATCATGGCAAAGAACTCAAGGGCTATCTGTCTAACGGGAGGGATGTCTTTATGGAGGACTTTTAAGGGAAACTGTCTCCTACACACGTTACACATGCGGAAAACCACGAAAACGCCCATGCAGTCAGCCCACTCACCAGGATTTCATCCCCGGACCGAACTACCAGTGTTCAATAATTTTACCCCTCTGCCGCTGATGGACCCAAGAGCTGAACTTTATAAATTACCGAAATAGTCTTTTTTTAATAATGCAGAGAAAATTTGATGATATCTTGATGAAATTTCTATGATCACACTTAAAATAAATACCTTTATTGATCCTAAAAATTGAATAATTTGTATATTATACAAATTAGACAAAATTCATAATAAAGACTATAAATATGTTTCATTAAAACAAAAATTTAAATAATTTATATCACTCTGTAACCAAATGAAAATAACTTATTATATTTTATATTGCTTTATAACATTATTATATATTATTATATTTTATACTGCATATTCTCAGCCTACAAATTCTATTATATAAGTATAATCTGAGACATATTATTTGTTATCTTTTTATATAGACAGCAGAAATTAAAAATAACACAACGACGGAAACTCAGACTGAAGACGTTTCGGATGGAAAAGAAGAAAGATCGTGTCTTACCAGTCATATGGGTGTTAACTTTATAACACCATCAATGGAAATGTTATCACCAGCGAAAAAAAAAATATGTTCAACATCGAAATTTGCATTTTCGGATGGCTTGAATAAGTATGTAAGCAAAACTTTGAAAGAAATTACTAAAGAACATCTTCCTTATTTACCTGATAAATTTACTGCACTTGAGGTAAGAAAGGAAGAGATAATTCTAAGCGAAGTTATGAAAAGGAAGCATGACATGATTGAAGAAGATAAAGAGCTTCCATTGATCTCAAACAAACATGAGCTCAAATCTGTACTCTATACTTCTGATACTGTAGGAAGCAAAGATGCGTGTATCGCCATTGACTCTGATAATTCAAAAGAAAATTCTATACATGTTGACGATGAGAAAAATGAAGTTAATTCTTTAAAGGATGGTAATATAAAAAGCGATAGTATTATTAAGAATTCTTATGAATTAACCGCACTTAACGAACAACCTAATAAAACTAAAGAAAATGAAACTGATAATGAAAAGAAGAATGAGCAGTTTCGTGACATAAGTGGATAAAATCATGCTTTCCAGTGATAAAAGGAATTGAAACAGTGAAATTTTTTGCGTATGTTATTTTTATGTTCTTTAAAGCAATGTTACATGAAAATGTATTTAGTGTATTGTGTTAATATTCTTTCTGATGTATGGATGAAAATCTTCGGCTCCAAATAAAAAAGGTTTTTTTTTAATGTAAGTCTGAAAAAAATTTGTTAAATCAATACCTTTGAAGAAGTCCTTAAAATTTGATCTTCTATCAGCTAATTAGGTCTTTTTAAAGTTTAAACCTGCAAACATTATATTTTAAACATTTGGCGAAGTTTTAAAGCAATATATAATACAATAAGAGAATATTTTATTTTTTGAGTTGTACCTTTCACTAGAATAGCCCTCTAAAGTAGCCAGTACTTTTCTGCACGTAATTAATTATGATATCCAGTGTTACCTGCAGTCACAGGTTTTGAGGTGACCACCTCTACAGAAGACCAAAAATTGTTTGGAATTGTGAGCAGTTATTTGAGAGAAGTATCATTCGGAATGCATTAAATTTGCCGCGAATAAAATATCGCGAAATTTAATTGCATTAACTGCATTAGAACTTCTCAACACTGCCAGAGATTGGGCTTCTGTTTCAGTTAAAATTTGCCTTGTATGATTTGTTGCTGCCTGTATTTTAAAATATTTCCAAAGTGAGCATTATCACTGAAAATGCTTTTGATGTAAGTTGTCAATGTTTTATCTGGGTGATGTATCACATGATGCTTTTCATCTTACCCCATTTTGCACTAATTTCGAGGATTAGAGAAATATCTTATTTTCTCATACTCTGAAAATACGTTCTCGACAGTAATTTGTGTTGTTGCCTTGAAGTTGTTCAGTTCTTTCCTACTGAGCTCATATTTACAGTTATCTAGTTAAGTCTTTCACATCTCTGCTGTTATCTATTTATACCCATGGTTTTACATAATGACAATATTGTTACGTATTTTCTATTTATTTAGTTTTCTATTTTTAATATAATTGTTATTAAAATTGTTTTATATTCCCGTGCAATGCAGCACGAGACTTATTTGAAGAAAAAGCTACGCCGAAATAATTAAATACAGGAGCACGCGCTTTAATAACAAATATCTCGTAATTGTTTCCTAGGGCTTTGCACCTACTATAGAAAATTCGTGAAGGACTTTTCTTCCATTGCAAGACCCCTTCACAAGCTGACAGAGAGAACAAAAGTTCTTGTGGACAAAAGAATGCGAGGATGCATTTAACAACTTAAAGAAACCTTTAACATCTGCTCCAATCCTGACGTATCCTCAGCTCGACAGATCATTTATTCTTGACACAGACGCGAACAATGAAAGTGTCGGTGCTGTTTTGTCCCAAGAAATAGACGGCCAAGAACGTGTAGTAACTTACTAGAGCAAGTGCCTGTGTAAACCAGAGAGGAATTACTGTGTTACCAGGAAACAGGTGCTCGCCAAAGTCTTAGAACATTTCCGTCATTATCTATACGGTAGATAATTCCTGCTCCTCACGGATCATGCATAATTGGTGTTATGTCGTGGAGCAAAAACAATTTTACTTTACACCTGACTGCCACTGGCTCCGACATAGCAATGTGAATACTCTACATCTAAAATTTTAAAACACCATTCCAAAATTTTAAATGTTTATTTAATAGAATTCTATTCATATATTTGCAAGTTATACACTATAAATACAATAAATAAAATTTGAATTTATCTACACCAGCGTGAATAAGCCTGGCATAATATTCAGAACTCGACGCAACTTTAGGAGGAAAATTACCGCAAATTCAAAAACACAAGGTTTCATCCCTTTCCAACGCAGCTAATTTTCTAAATATATTTTACTAATATCCGCAGCGGGACAGCGGATTCATTTCATTCACCCAAAACTCAAATGTTTTAACGCAATAGTATCGCAAAGGAAACATCGACTCAAAATCAAAATATTAAAATCTATAGAATATCATCCGCTGTTGCCATTCCAGCACTGCCAAGTTTTTCTTCCTGCAGCTGTTGCCAGACTTATCCTCGCTTTATGATGAGAGGTACAACAATTGGCATGGCTTTTAAATCTCAAGAATCCTGAGGGTCAAAATAGCCAGGTGGATACAGAGATTCCAGAAATATGGCATCACTATCCGTCATCGGAAGGGATCATCACATGAAAGCGCCGATGCCCTGTCTAGAAGACTTTGCCCAGAAAGCTGCCGATATTGTTCTAGGAGCGAAGCAAAATGCGAGCTGCTGAGTTCGGTCGCACGACACATTACGACATAAACATCGGCTGATCGAGATCCATGGAATGACAGAGAAGTCAGGAAAGACCAGCTGGAAGACGGCGACATTAAAGCTATAATTGAATTGATGGAATTTTCAAACAGAAAGCCTACCTGGCAGAACATTTCGATATAAATAATAAACTTTCTTCGAAAAGTTTTCTACGGGTTCTAGGATTCAACATTTTAGTCAATAATATATGACTGAAAGATGTTATTTGCCTTATTTTATATTTGTTTGATTTTATGATAAAAGAATGTATTATGATCTGTTATATATGTGTGGTTATATATGCGACCGCTAATAAAAGCATTTAAGCATTTGTATATTTAGCTTACTTGTATAGTTAAAACGCATGTCTTGAAGCATGCTTTGTAATCGAGAATAGATTTTAAATGAAGATATTTAAATTAAAAAAATAAAAAAACTTCTAGTAAGAAGAAAAGACTATACTATAAATTTCCTCCATATGAATGAGAGACCATATAAAAGCACTTTATACAAAATTGTTTCTAGTTACAGTATTCAATATGTTAAATAGGGATCAAGCGATTTCACAGCCTTCTGAACATCTTCGCTGTCTTCTTCCAGGTCCTCATTTCTTTGGTCTTTTTCACTGAAATCTGTACCGAATACAGTTTCATCTTTTACACCTGTTGTATTCCATACTCGAATACTCCCATCATATGAGCCAGTGAAAAGTTTTCCCGGTACAGTCTAAAGAAATTATACACTATTTCAGCAATCATACTGTTAAAAGATATTTAGACTTCGAAAATTATACAGTTTAAAATGAGAAAATAAACATAATTTTACAAATAATATCATCAGAATTTCTTTTGTGTTATATATATATTTTACAATGCAAAATCTCTATCTCTACATATAAAAGAAAGAGTCTGCATGTGTGTGTGTGTGTGTCTTTCGTTCGCGCTGCACGTAAGCTAATAGACCCACGACTACGAAATTTGATACATAAGTGCATCTAGACAAGTGCCAGTGCACCTCGAAGTGATTTTTTTTTCCAAATTCGAATTCGAATTTTTTTAATTTTATGTTTTGTGACGAAATCGCGTCATTTTGAGACATAATGGGCTATAGGAACGCGAGATTTTACTCTACACACTCCATTTTTACATCGCCATGAAACTTAGGCACTTAGCTATTTTAAGAACTTAAAAAATAAATTTCGTGTTTCAATAAATCGATTAAATACGAATTTATTTAACAAAGTGAGCTTAACACCTTTTCAACGGGATTTTTTCTAAAAAAGTTTATTTTTAAAAATGTACAGTTTATTTTTCTTTGATTTTTGGACACGTTAAACTTTCATCCTTGCGACTGTTTTTACAAAAAGAATTTTGGAAAAATGATAATATTTTAAAAAAAATTAAATGGAGCTTAAAAAAATTAAAAAATTTAAAATTTAAAAATTAAAAATTTAAAAAAAAAATTAAATGGAGCTTCCGAGTACACTTCTCATATCTCACATCTTTAAAAATGTGATTTTGGCAACAATTTTCCTGTCTTATTGTCGTTGACAGATTTTTGATGAAATCGCATCATTTTGAATAGTTTCATTCTTTTAGAAATATGGGTTCGGCAACAATTTTTCATCGTATTTTTTATGTCACTGTTTTTAATCGTATTTCTTATGTCACTATTTTTAAGAGATTGGCATATTTAGTTGTCATTTTTTATATATATAATACAATTTTATTGATATTTTTTTGATAAAGTTGCCCTGCAGAGTAAAATTCTCCGTGGAATTTTTTTTGTTTTTTTTAGTTTATTTCATGTTAATTTTTGCTTATTTCACTGTTTGCAAGATATTGAAAAATTTTGCATGATTTGGTTTCTTCAACGAAAAGTTGGTTAATTTTTTTATTAGGATAATTAATATTTGTTTTAAGAGATATAGCTCATTTCATTCTAATTTTTTTCTCTTGAAAATATAAGATAAAATGGCACAGCTTTAGTATAGCCCACCCGGAATTTAAAAAAAAAAAAAAAAAAAAAAAAAAAAAAAAAACCGCCAAGAGTGGCGATAAATGATATGATCTGGTAACCCATACTATTCGCCAAACGCAATGTAAACAAGAGGATGGAGTTACGGTTACAGCTAATTTAGTAGTCAGTTACATTTATTCAATTTCAAATACAAATTACCGACATATCCGTTTACTCAAAGTTTAACCCTTTGAAGGGCACCGGTATATAATATATACCGGTTGTTTGTCAATTTTTTAACCTCCGAAAAAATGCTAACTTTTCTACACCAAAAGCTATAATCGTAAGTGTCTAGTATTTTCTTTCGATTCTAAATGGCAACATCACTCTATGAATGCTCAATATTTTACAGTTATGAAATTAATTTACGTCGTCGTTCCAAGGTATCATGTTGGAAGATTGATAAATTCTATTGGAGGGAAAGAAAAAATTCAAAATCTGCAAATATATGACGTACACATGCTGAATCTTACATATTTACTTCATTTCAGTCAGAAGTGATAATTAACAGCAAATTATTTATACGATTTTAAAACCGGTATATAATATATACCGGCGCCTAAACTGAGGGTACCGCGCCAATAGATGGCAGCACCAGTCTTCTCCTTTTCTATTCTGTGACGTGACAGAATTTCTTTATTATTATAACAGTTTATGATGTAATAATATTTCATGATTAACTTATAAGTCGTTTAGGATTAAATATTATGTTCATGGAGGAATGGGGAGTTTTCTGACTCTGCGCTAGGACTGAATACAAGTATATTAGTTTCATTTATTCTTTTTGTGTACTCAGCTCAAGTTTCATTCGTCTGGTGTTTAGCTAAAATTTTTATTTCAGCACTTATCTCTTTCCAAAGAGAAGACTCATCGATTTCAAATTCCCGTCTGGGGTCAAAACTTCACACAATTGTGGGGTTTAAACGTGGCATGCTAGCCCCCAAAGACACCTGTTGCTTCCTTCCTTTTTTTCCAAAAATCCTAGAATGTAAGAAAATGAAAAGAGATGATTGACAACCAATTTGTCTTTCGGGAACCAGGCCTTCTTCCCTTTGTGAAGTGTGATAAGATCACACAAAGGGAAAGCTCACTTAAAATGGAAATGTACTTAAGGTCCATCTCATAGTGTAATCACAAAAACTGCTGATTTGAAAGCATGCTTTTATTCTTTAGGGAAATTCTTTTTAATTCTTTGTTAATTTCAGATGAAAGACTAGAGAACACAAGAGAAATTTGCGTTCTGGTTGATACAAATAGGTTGTTTCACAAATAAATTTTCACAGTTGGTGAAAGGAGGAAAAATATTTCTAAAGCCCCTAAGTTTTAGCCCATTTTAGATGCAAACTAAAATTTATCCAAAAGTTGAAAAAGGATCCCCTATGAAGCCAAAGGGGTTGAAAATCAGAATAAAGAGCTTTGAGGTGTATCAAATAATAAAATTTGTTTAACGGTGTTTCTTACCTGAACAAAAAGATATATTACAACCTATATTTACAAAAAATAAAAAGGGGACACTTACGGTCCTCCGATGATCTAAAGTGTGTGTGCGTGGAAGGGGGGGCGAATTCTTCGTATCATAGTATGAAGCATGGTTTTTTTCACATATTATCTAAAGCATAAAATACAACTTCAAAAAATGCAACATAATTTCTTTCTGAGCTGAGTCGGTCGTAGTGCTTCATTTTTCAATTTTTTAAATTTTCGGCTGAGTTACATCTGCTTGTAACATTATACTTAGTTCAGTTACAGCATGATACGATTTACACAAGCAGTGTTATATTTGCTAAATTTTTTTCATAAACTAATAATATTGAATTTAAATCAAGTTGAAGAGCTTTTTGCCCATATTTTACCATAAGTATGTTCAGGCTGGGTTTCATCATCAAAGTGCATAAAAACATAAATTTTTATTTTTAAAATTTTAAATTTCTGCCGAAATTTAAGAAAATTTCTGTCTTTAGACTTACATAAACTATATTCAAGCACTCATCACTACTATAGACGCACATCAAAAGTACCCAAAATTAATTTAAAAAACAAAGATTAACAATTAGCAACTACCTGGAAAAAAATGTCCTAGAGGGGCGCCGGTATAAAATATATACCGGCTCTCAAAATTCCGGATCTCGCTCTAGAATTTTTTTAAGTCTCAATTTTGTGTCCTTAGGGTCCATAAGTTATAGTTCATGCAAAATTTTACCACAATTTAAATTATTTTATATACCGCCCCTCAAAGGGTTAATGCACGAGCCCTGTATTCTTACTTTTCCGGTATGGTATAGATTTCTCTTAAAATTTGTCTCACGCTGCGTTGCAGAAGAAAATACAACATTTTAAATTAGAATTCTACTAAAATTAATATCTAAATACACAATTCGTAACAATGTTATTGGCGATTGTTTAACGCTCAGATACCGTGAATACTATTTTTGTATATATTTTTTTGACTACTATTTTTGCGTTTAGTTATTGCTTGCTCTAAAACTGCTGCTGTTAGTGATGTTGTAATTAAGTATCAGGAGATTATAAAGGAAAATTTAAGGTGGGAGTTTTTGAAAACGAGCCTAAAATTTTGGAAACAGATATTTTATGTATGAATTACAAGAGATTATCAACTTTTTTAGAGGATTTTTTTGATGGATTGTCGATTATTGAAGGATAACGTTTTCTGTGAAAAATGTAAGATACCATGCTGGTTAGTTAGTCAGGAAAAGTCATCGAATGGTAGTACTTGCAAGAAATGTACGGCTGAGAAATCAATTAGGCTAGGATCTTGATTCGCCTGTAGTAAGCTCAATTTTTCTATATATATATATATAATATATAGATATATATATATATATATATTATTATTATTTTTCTAAACGCAAATCAATGGAGTTGCTTATGCACGAATTTCTTCAATTCTCCGATTTCTTTTAAGTGAAAGCATATTTCTTAGTATATGAGCAATGCAGAGTTTATTCAATGTCTGATTTTTAAGTGAAAAGAGATCGCTATATACATGTGCAAAGCCAATGCAGTGCGCAATGCCGAGGTGTTTGCGCGGTGCCTAGTTTTGTGCAATTCTAGGATGTTTTTTTTTTTTAAGTGAAAATAGATCGATGTGTACATGGGCAAAGCCAATATAGTGCGCAATGCCGAGGTTGTGCGCGGTGCCTAGTTTGTGCAATTCTCGGATTTTTTTTAAGTGAAAATATCGATGTGTACATGGGCAAAGCCAATGTAGTGCGCAAAGCCGAGGTTTGTGGCGCGTGCCTAGTTTGTGCAATTCTAGGATGTTTTTTAAGTGAAAAATTGATCGAATGTGTACATGGGCAAAGCCAATGTAGTGCACAATGCCGTGTTTGTGCAATTCTCGGATGTTTTTTAAGTGAAAATAGATCGATGTGTACATGGGCAGAGCCAATGTAGTGCGCAATGCCGAGGTTGTGCAATTCTCTGATATTTTTAAGGTGGAAATAGATGGATGTGTACATGGACACCGAGCTTTGATGTTTTTCGAGCGAATGCGGATCGTTGTGTACAAAGGAAAACGAGATAATGTGTGATGACGAGCTGTAATGTAACGTATTTTATATGCAATGTTTAACATATCGTTTGTGAATTTTAAATTTGTATTCTTGTTTTAATTGTGAATTATATTTAAGACGTCATTTTTCATTTAAATTGTATTTTTAATTTTTTGGTTTTGATATGTTTATAAT